GGGTGGCGGCGAGGACGGGACGTGCTCATATTTAGTGGGGAAGCGGGGTTGGTGGCGGGGGGGAGAGAGTGAGGGCGGGGTGGTTCACAGGAAAGGGATTTCGGCGAAGCCACTTCATCATTGATCATGAACTAGAGAGCAGCCTCCCCGGCTTCTCTCCATTTCATGATCGATGCCAAGGAGGCATTTGATTTCAAAAAGCTGAACTCTGGGTGCTGAACTCCGGGTACCCTTCTGCCGTCCGGTGGTGCTCCGTTTCCTAAACAGAGTGTAAAATGCTACAGTAGCAAACGACTGTCGCAAATTTCACGTGGGCGTCGAGGCGGGGGAGGGCCGAGTTGTGCACATAAAATGGCGGGAGAAGGTACTGTGTCTGGTTTGTAATGTTGAGAGAACTAATGTTTTGATCTGCATGTGCTCACTCATATTTGGATTTAATTCCACCCTTTCATTGTACTGCAAGTGCCACTGCACCGCATCGAGTCCATGGAATTTTAGTAGTGTGCATATGGACTGGGTGTGGATTGGTACTTCCTTTAGCCAATGGATTTCGACCAGTTCGCAGAATTACCAAGCATTACAGTGGTTCTGTGTAGCATTCGTTGTGGCGTGCGATTAATTTAATGAAATGATCCGGCCAATAGCGTGACCGCAACTGGTTGAAGGAAAACAAAACAAAAGAAAAGCGCCTGTTAGGACTGGCCCTCAGCCGCTGAATTTGGACCGCCCCACCGAATAGCCAGCTAGGCACGCATGGGAAACAGCTGCAGAATGACACGTTGACGCTCTGTCCGACCAACTGGGCGCAATCATGTTTTTGTACCACAAACCGACTTTTATCAAAGCATTGTAATCTGACTTTTCAGACTGCGAACGTTGGAAACATGTGTTTTTTTGTTTTTTTCCTTGTGGACTGAAATAACCAACATGCGCCTTCTTCATCAAGTCTTAGTCAAGAATTCACATATTAGTTGCTTCTTGTCCATCTCCTTGGCCCGCACACTTATTTTGCGGGCCAAGGAGGTGGACAGGATCGTTTAGTCGTGGCACGTACAGATTCACCCGCAGCTGCTGCCGTCCCCGAACAAATTCTTGCCGACCTATGATGTCTGCCCCCTCCCGAGTTGCTTTCGGGATATGTTGACTCCTCTTGCTCGTCACTTCTGGGCAGAAAGTTACAGTACCCTTCATAGGAACCCTGGAACGCTTACGAATTTGTGTGACGGAAGAATACGTATAAACGATGACTGAACTATTTTTTATACAAACTTAGGGTTGCTAGCCCATCCAGAACACTTCCCATTTCCATGCAAAATTTGCATTTAGCTTGGAAGTCCAGCCCTCTATCGGTTCCTGGTGTCCCCTGAAAGATGTTTTTATGTACTTCAGTCGCCACAACCAACGCTCATGTCAGCGGAACTTTGGTGTAATCAACAAAGGTTTTGTACAAAGATGTTCTTCGAAACGGGCGGAAAGCGCATTTCTCCACTCGCCGTGGCCAGCTGCCAAAGGCTACAGTTCATCGCTTATAAAACAAGCGACCGTTCTTCAATTCTAACTTGTAACCTTGAACGTGTGAATTTTGCAAGCCCACAGACATCATCTTCTCAACGATGTCACCCGTAAAATAACCCTTTAGCTTTACATGTGTTTCGTACAGTATAGATGTACGGTACAAGGCTTGTACCGTACATCTATACTGTACGTGCTTGTACTACAAGCAGTGTGTTGGTTAGATCAGATTGTAATTCTTTTCTAATGATAACGTGACGCAATCGTCGAAATTCGTTTCTCCTCCCCTTTTGCATATGCTGCTCGATATACAGTATTCTGAGTTTGTGATCATGCTGTCATCTGCCTGTCAGGAAGCGTTGCGCCGCCATCGCAAAAGTAATCAAGAATAATGACCCTAGCTGTGAACATGCTTCTTATCGGTGCCCATGTCGGTGTAGATCTATCATCGCATGTGTGGGATAGATTAAGACGGGCAAGCTACGCTCTACGATAGATAGTTTGAATTTCTCTACGTCGTCAACACAAGGTCTTACTGCCCGAAATCCTGTGCCACTCCGTCTTCTCCGCAAAAGCTAAAACGATCCCCAATTTCTCCCATCTTCCTCCCAGGTCACTATCCCGTAGGAGCACACGTCTATATCCTTGAAAAATCTCGTCAAGCTGAGCTTCTTCTCCCGGGAGTTTCAGCGCGTCCCTTCATATTCCTGGCCAACCCTATCCCTCTCACAACACAAACGGATACTGCCGGCTATGGATCCCATAATTCATAGAAAACTTCCTTGTCCTGGATTACATATTTCACTACTTCGTCAACTGCCGTGAGCCGTCAACGAATATGTAAATTTGATGCTTTTCGCAACACTTGAGGCGCCTGACAAGTAAAACCAGACTGTACTGAGAAATCTCGGGGCATGTGATAAAGAGACAATCCCCGGGCATGTACCCTTTTTGAAAAAGATTACAGAAACTTAATTCATGCAATAGCATAGTTCTTCAACATGTGCTCCTGCTAAAACGTTCTTGCAAGCTACTTTCCAAAAAAAGACACCGACAGTTTCACTCAACCCCCCATCTTTGCTACCACTATGGCTACTTCCAATGCTTCGTCAACCTTTGCAGTTACCGCTCAACATCCTGCCGGGCGGCCTTTCTTTCACTGTCACACAGATGCAGTTTCGTAATCGGCCACGGTAAGTTTGCAGTTCTCACCTGCCCAGCAATACGAACGAGAACCAATGAACAGAGCTATTCCATGTTGAGATCCACGTCGGAAAACTATGACTAGTATGAATGTAAGATGCTTTCGTCTTTGCTGGCGATGATGGCTGCGAGGCGTCGGTTTTCTATATTGGTCATCATGAAATTCAATATCTCTCCGAGGAGAAACTCATTTCCCAAGTTGTACACACTACAATAAAACCAGTTCAGTCATACAACATAGTCTCACTGCATGCCATGTCGTCAAAACCCTGATCTTGGTGTTCTCAAGAAAATCTACGAAGCAAGATTGGGAATAGCTGCTGGGCTGCATTTTCCCCTCAACAATAGCGAAATCACCAACCCTCGCATCTATATAAACCGCTTGAGTCAGCTTAACCTTCCTGAGTTCCCATCACCCACAGCCCATCACCAACAGGAAGAGCTTGCACACCACTCATCCAAACAATCATGAAGTTCATCCTTTTCTTGGCCATTGTTGGCCTCGCCCTCACCTCTGTCTTCGCTGAGGACATTCCCACTGAAGCCCGCAGCCGCAGCTACCGTCCCTGCCCATGCAAATGCCTCGTTGGGCGTGGTGCCAAACGTGCCATCCGTGCTTGCCGCAGCTACCGGTTCCGGTTCCACTGCGAGGTGAGCGCCTGCTACTACCACGGTAAACCTGGTAAGCAGTGCTGTGACAAGGATGAGCCGAAACCGTCTGCGTCTCCATCCAGCACCCCGTCGGCGACTCCGTCCCCGACCCCGTCAAAGAGCCCCGAACCACCCAAGTGCCCTTGCACTTGCGGCTCCAAGAGGGACGCTAGGCGTGAGTGCCGCTACAAGCCGTACTGTCAGACCATGGAGTGCCCGCCGCCCGAGGTCCACCACCCGGTCCCCCACCACTACAATAAGCCGAAGCGTGAGTTCAAGTGCTGCTACAAGCCGCATGTCGCCCCTGTCTACTAAGTGTTGTAGTGGAACTGTTCGATCTGATTTAGAACTGTCAGGAGCGGGCAGTTAGGCCGTTTGGATGATCTGTATCAGTTAGATGCGACGTTTTCCCCATCTTTCAATAAAGAGCCAGTCCCTTTGAATCTTAAGCTACGACCGTATGTCTAGACGTGCTGTCGTACTGATCCCAAAAGTACTGCGGGTGTAGTTCGTGAGCTGGGGGAGGGTCTCTTTTCCGACTGTAAGATGGGCGCATCCCCGCTGTCCAGCGCCCAACTCGCAACAGTGTTCTGGAACATATTGCTTCCAGTGCGCCCTTGGCGCAAGTTCTTCGAAAACT